TCCTAAGCGATATCGCGCGATACTAGATTGCACCTGTTCGACGAGCGACGCTTTGTTTCACGATGCACACCGGTGCATCGATAATAGTCGTTGGTTCGACGTCGATAATGCTCGATTTATCACGTGTCGTCTCCGTCATCGTATTTAATTTTGAGATTTTGCTGCGATAAAATGTAGCGCGTGTTTAACGATTAAGAGACTTTCTTACTCGCGCATTTGGAAAATCGTGAGTTTTACGACAACGAAATGCGTGGTGTACGTGCGACATTACGACTTGTGAACTTGTCCTTGCCTTTCAAACTTTCACGTGCTGCGCATCGTATAAGCGCTTATCACGCAGAAAGAACCATTATTATTCAATAATGAATATTGATAAAGAAGATAACTAAGTTTTCTGCAATGTCACTGTAATTTGCAGTACTTTGAATAGACTTTGAATAAACTTTCTCTTTTCTTTTTTTTTTTTTCTAGAAAAATTTACATGACGATAGAAAATTATTCACCTCATGAATATGTACAGTGGTATAATCTGTGAGCGGAGAAATTTTATTTTAATTAATTATCTTCAAATGTTAAGTCCAAATATTGCTTAATTGTAATTTAAAATTTTTTACGTATTAGATACGAAACTAAATAAATAACTCTGTGAACACGCACGGTTTGAGCGAATGTTGAAAAATTTCATTTCAAAAATCGATCTTCAAATATCAAATCCGAATTGATTGATTAAACTTAACGTAATTCGTATGGTAGGTGCGAAAGTAAATAAATAAACTGAGAGCACTTCGGCTAACAGGTAGAAACAAATTTTGATTTAGCGCCGATCATAAATCTTCTACGATGAGTTGATCTGAACAAACTTAAGAAAATAATTTGGCCTAATTTTAATAACGTATAAGTGTACACGATATGTCTTATCTCGATCGCGAAAGAGTCATTTCAATTGCAATCGCATGCGTCGTTTCAATCGTAAGATGCATACGCGTACGCGAGCAACGTATGAATCAATACTACCAGGACGGTTGACGTCAATCGACAAAAATCACCCGGCAAGATAGGAATGCGCAAGATAAAGGGCGAGTACTTCGTCGACAATGAAAATTTCGTGGAAATTTTAATGCTAGAGAAAATCAAATGCCAAGAGAAAAATATTTGGTATTCGTAATAATTATAATACCATAACTATAAACCATAGTAAATGAATTATAATTAAGAGGATCATTTTTCTAGTGAGTGTGACTATAGTGTCAATAATAATAACCTTGCACGTACTGTTACTATATTAATATTATTAATAATATTGTTATATATATATTATGGTTAAAACCAAAAAAGTGGTATAGTTGAGACTGAAAATATCTATCAATGTACTTAGATGCTCTTAAGGATAATTTGCGCCTGTTTAAACTGCCTATAGCTTGATAAAAACCTACTTTCACGATACTCGCACTTATTAGCTTCTCTCTTGAACTCTTTAATTCTGCAGATTTGATTTTAATTTTATCGTGAAACATTTATTTTGACGTTAAAACAGTGGAACTTCAATTCACACCGACATAGTCAATGTAGGAGTAAATTATATTGTTAGAATTGGAATTCTGCGAGCCTATTTCGCTGTTTTTACTTCCTACTGTGGAATTAAAAGTTCAGCGTAGAACTCAAATTTCGACTCGGGCGGTAGATGAATTAAGATCAGGTAAAATCCGACCACGATCACAGGTCAGCCAGGGGAACTCGAGGAACTATTCCGCGCGTCATCGAACGCTTCCTCCTACGCCTTTTCCAAGGACGACGGAGGAAGGAATATTGTCGGCACGACACTCATCGACCAGCTCTTATACGATCTCCTCTCTCGGCCGGCGGAAGAAGTGCCGTGGGCAAAAACGTGTCGTGCGCGGGGTGGCTCATCGATCAACGATTACCGCGGTTATCAGTTGCTCCGTGATATCAATTCGGTACGAATAGCGCACGTATTTTTCGACGTCGTGCCCCACTTGAGACCACTTGTTCTTCGAGACATTGTTTTGTTATTGTGGAAAATCGATTCGGTTGCAAAGAAAGGAAAAAATCGTCGCGCGCGGTACAGAGGAAATTCGCGTTTTCCCGCGAAGGAGAGACGGAGAGAGATTCGTTCTCGCAATTCTCCCGTGAACTTCGCCGGATTTTCCGAGTTTCAGCCGAGTGGAAGTTACCACGCGATCTCACACTGCGAATTCGAAGTGTGGATCGAAATCGGACGCGATTCTCACGCTGCGTCATCGCGATCCTTATCGAAACGCGAGGATAGGAAGACCTAGACAATGAACTAGAATTTTCCGCCTCAAGCGTCCCGACACTGCGTGCGCCTCGTTTTCGTATTTGCGAATCGTGAATCTATTATCTGCACTAATTCATGATAATTCGCTCGCTGTGCCGAACAAACTTGCCGGAAGCTTATCGCTTGTAAAAATAATACACGGAGAAAAACACCGACAACGTATCTTCCGCCGAAGTAGCGTGTCTCGCGGAATAGGGAATTTCGGGAGATCTCTGCGCTTCGGCAAATCGTGACTTTTCGACAGTTGTAATTTATTACACATCACCGACGTTATCACCGTCGTCACATTTTTTTTGCCTCGAAGGATAATTTATTGATTTTTCATTTGAATTTCGCCTTGAGCGTTAGTTTAGTCGGCGGCTTATCTAACGTACTCGAAATTGATTGATAAAAGTGCTCAGTCGTTTTGCGAATTCGCAACAGTGTGAGGAAAACGACTTTAAGAACAATGACGAAGAAGGAGGACAAGCAGCCTCTCCTTAACGAAACCTACGACACCATCGATGCCCTTTGGTAAGCTTGCGACAATTGACAGATTGAAATAATTCTGCGACATCGATCGTTCTTCGCGGCTGCCTTTCGGCATGGTGGCTTTGTCGATATATCGCACGGAGAAAAAAGATCGATCAAATGAACGTTTACAATGAACAGACCTAACACGTTTGATTCGTTCATTGTCATGTTAATTCAAGTCAATTCGAGTTAATTAATTCTTCCTTTCCTCGAGTTGCTCGATAATTTCATGAAGGTTTTTGTGAAAAATTCAAAGCCGATACTTTCACAATAGACATAGTTTTATCCACTAATGTATTAACCTTTTTTTTTCAATGACAAAAGATCATTGGAAAAAAAAACGAAAAAATAAAATTACACCTAACTATGGAAACATCGACTTCGAATTCTTCGCGAAAATACCTGCGAACTTATTGAACACGATCCGGTATATCCGCTCGTAATGATAATTATCGTGATTTCCGTTAACTTCGCGATACTTCGTATCTACGATATCTAGTATACTCTTCGTTCTTCAAACGATCCCACCCATGTCTTTCGCGTGAAATCTGCGCTAACCAAGTGAAGCCCAGCAGGTCGATTTCGCGAGCGTTTATCTCGCGTGCGCGCGCGGAGACCTAAATTGATATGGGTACGCGATTTAATGAGACGATAAACCAATTAATTTCGTACCGGACGAGTTTCAGTTCGTCTGCAGTCTATAGCAGAAAGTCTCTCGTTGAAGCACTCGCGTGAATCCGCTTCCGCGGTCGACATACCGTCGTCGTTATCGGCGAACCGCGGGAGATAATGGGGCGCGTATTTTTTGCGAAACCAGCGATAACCGATTGGCGTATGATCGTCGGTGTATTGTATAATACGACGATGCATCGGTGAACGTTAACACATTGCCAAACGCGCGCGAGTTGTATGGAAAAAATTAGTATCGATCAAGACTCATATTTTCACATGTATAAATAAGAATATTTAATCTTATATGAAGATAAAACTTGCTTCCACATGCATGTGAAGACATTTTATATATTATAATCCCATTAAAGATGCCATATTCTTGTTATTGAAGAATAATTTTCACGAATGGAGGAAAAGTGTTGGATAGAAAAACTGATATCTTCAAATTAAGAATTGTAACAGTTTTAGAATTGTTTATTTGGGAACAAAACCACTCTCGAAATTTCTTGGAGTGAAATCTTAGCAAAAAGGCAGAGCGACCACCGAGTCACTCGAATTCGAGTGACTTTTCATTCGTATGGTGAATTCTTCGCTCTGAATTCTTCTTTCGATCTCGTTGAATTATATAGGGTGAGGCAATAATTATTACTATCTTGGATATTAGAGAAACAAAAATATTTTATTAATGACTAAATGAAAATGAAGAGAAGTTTGCACTTAGAGGTGTTTAAAGTGATTACTATTGATATCAATGCGATTTTTGATAAATGAATTTATCTCCTACATTCTCATATTTTGAAGATACTCAATAAGGTAATGGTTATTGTCTCATCCTATATATAACCCTATATATAAACTGTACAGTAAGTTGAAAAATCTATCATGTGTTTTGGCGCAGCTTAAGTTATTTTTCTACACGTAATATCATATATATTTAAAATTTCTCGGGAACAAAAACGCCATTATCGTGACGATTTACTTCTTAGCAACGTGATTCTTCGAGTATCTCGGGCGTTAGAATCAGAACATGCGAGATATCGGGTCAGTCAAAAAGATCGGTTCGATTTTCAATCACTTAATCGTTCCCATCGGCTGCAATAGAGTAAAATTTGCCTAAAAAATCGAGCCGAACTTCTCGAGTAATCCAATGTATTAGGGACCAAAGGAAATGACGTGGTTTGAATATGAATGTCTCATTCTTAGCTCCGTGCGGGTAGCAAAGTCGATGTCGCAATGCGTGCTATTGTCCAACTTGAATTGCGAATCTTCGAATAAATTCATGGTAGTAATAGTAGTGGGGTAACAGCAATAGATACAAAGATAACAGATAGATACAAAGAGAAAAGCAGTTCCGCAACAGTCTTGCAACCGCACCTATTCTTCCTTGTCAAAGCCGGAACTCGGAGCCGAGCGCAGCTTCGTCGAGGGAACTATCGATATTTTGCACGTAAAACCACCTACGTACGTCTGAATATTCCGTAAAAAAACATTTTTCCAGGGAAGGCAACGATGACACCGATAACGAAGTCGTCGAGTCCCAAGCGGGACAGCTCGCGGAGACGAGCACGGTGAAGATCGACATCGAGGGCATGACATGCCAGAGTTGCGTGAGAAATATCGAGGGGATGATCAGCGCTCGACCCGACGTCGTCAACATCAGGGTGGTCTTGGCGGAGAAGGCTGGCTACATCGAGTACAAAACGCGCGAGACCACGCCGCAGGATCTGGCAGAGGCTATCGAAGACATGGGATTCACCGCTAGTCTACCGGCGTCCGACAACGCTAGGAACGAAGCCAAAGACATCTCCGCACTGCCTGCCATCGGTATCTGCAGCATACACGTGGATGGGATGACCTGCTCGTCGTGTGTGAAGAATATCACCGGTACGTGGGAGGAGTGCACTCGAAAGGAGTGTAATCGAAATAAACAGGAAATACTCAATATTTTAACTGTCACTGCAATTGTGTATCTGTTTCCTACATTCTGTCTTATCTTTCGTACATCTTAGATACTTTTTTATCTCACAGGTATCCCAAATTATCTTATCCTTTCGAAATCTTCGATTTTTTATCTTTCTTAGATCTCCTTAAATGCTACCTTATCTTCCATAGATTTTGTTTTGTTTCTTCTCTTCCTTAGATCTTGAATTCTATCCTATCTCTCTTAAATTCTTCCTTATTTTTCTTAGATTTTCTCTTCCTTTGCGAGGAGTATCTGCAGTATTCAAGATTGTGGTTGAGAGTTTATCTCGCGAATTAGATGGGGAGCGAAGTCGTTATCCATACCGTAACTTTAAATACCGTGTGACTCGTGTGTATCAGCTTGGCAGTCAAAGCGTCAAATATCTAACAGATAGACAATCCTAAAGGCCGTGCATCTCCTATTGCAGGTGTTCTGTCCGAAAAACCCGGCATAAAGGTCGTGGATGTCAGCCTGGAAGGTAAAGAGGCCAAAGTTTCTTACAGCAGCGGTGACGTAACGGCCGATCAGATAGCAACATATATAGAAGACATGGGTTTCACCGCGTACGTGAAGGAAGTCAACAGCAAAATTTTTCGAGCGCCACCGATCTTGGTTGTTAACAACAACCAGAAGAAGGTGGAACTGTCGGTGCAAATGAACGGTGCCGGTGATGTGAAGGGACAATTATCAAAGTGTTTCCTGCATATTACCGTACGTTGTGTTCCGCTCGCTCTTTGAAAGCGAGTCTCACGGATTGCTCGTGTAACAAGGCCGTTACTTTCACAGGGTATGACTTGCGCGTCCTGCGTCGCCGCGATAGAGAAACACTGCAAGAAGTTATACGGGGTAAACAACATACTGGTGGCGCTGATGGCTGCCAAGGCGGAAGTCACGTACGATCCCGACAAAATACGAGCGGTGGACATTGCTTCCAGTATATCGGAATTAGGTTTCCCCACTACTCTGATAGAGGAGTCCGGGACCGGGGAAGGAGAAGTCGAATTGAAGGTAAAGCGACCGGGGATTTATTTTAGATCGGTTTCGGAGATTTCATATATCAGCAGATTAAACTCCGAGCTTTGTTTTCCGTCTTTTGAAAAGAGATCACGTCTGCGAAGTGACGCGATTTTCACAACAAAAGAAGATAAAAGAAATACGAAATATTATTTCATTCGCTTAAAATTTCACTTCCTTTCATTTGAATTTTATTTTTGAATTTCACTCCTTCAATTTATTTTAAATTATGGAAAGCGAGAAACATACGGCGCTGCTTTGCGAAGGGGACATCGCGCGTTCTTGGTTATTAATTAATTTCAGATCCTGGGGATGACGTGTGCGTCTTGCGTCAATAAGATAGAATCGACCGTGAGGAAATTGCCCGGTGTACGAATGGCGGTGGTGGCTTTGGCGACGCAGCGGGGGAAGTTCAAGTACGACACGGAGAAGACCGGTGTGAGGGACATAGTCGAAAGTATTAATAAATTAGGTTTCACGGCCAGTCTGTTCAGCAATCGGGACAAAGAGAATAGGGATTACCTGGATCAAAAGTGAGTCTCGCCTTTGTGAAATTACTTTACCCAATCGCGGCCGCCGAGGCTTTCCTAATGACTCGCTTCTCCACAGGGAAGAGATAAGCAAATGGCGAACGGCGTTCTTGGTGTCTCTAATCTTCGGAGTCCCCTGCATGATAGCGATGATATATTTCATGGTGGTCATGTCCGTCGAGCACAAGACGCACCAAGAGATGTGTTGCATAGTACCTGGTCTCTCTTGGGAGAATCTATTGCTGTTCATATTTTCCACGCCGGTGCAGGTATGCGCGTGATGACGCGATCTCGCTTATGCTTGTCGTGCAAGAAGTTCGAGTTGATCGTTTTTTTCACTCCTTATGTACAGTTCTTCGGCGGCTGGCACTTCTACGTGCAAGCCTACAAGGCTCTCAAGCACGGTACGACTAACATGGACGTTCTGATCTCAATGACCACCACGATTTCGTACCTTTACTCCATCGCCGTCCTCGTCGCCGCTTTGGTAATGCAACAAAACGTCAGTCCGCTAACGTTCTTCGACACCCCGCCGATGCTCTTGGTGTTCATCAGTTTGGGAAGATGGCTCGAACACGTGGCGAAGGTATCATCTGTTGCACAACGATTGTTAATTTCATCTTCATTTGTGAAACTTCTCGCGAAAAACGCGGCTCTAAACCGGAAGCCAAATCCAGCCTTACATGTATCAAATTTAATTAATTAATCACAGGCTCTTCTTTCTAAACTTCGATTGGGTATCTTCTTAGACTGTTTTTCATTTGTAACACAGACTGAAGAATGCGTTGTTCACATCTTTTTCGCGTCACTTGTTTTCTGGTGGAACAGTCAAGAGCCAACTTAAAACACTAAATGTACTCGTTAACTTTGACGTGTAAATAATTTTTTGCTTTGTGACACCACTAACGAGGATCCGAGGCCGAAATGTTTAGTTTTACGTATTGATGATTAAACATTTTAATCCGGACTATTGGATTTATTTGTAGACTTAATTTATATTTAATATAATTGCACCGAGTAAACCGCAGAAACCGTATAAACTCAAAAGTTCTTGTAGGTCCTTTTTTCTAAATTAATTAATTAATATATTTATCTTAAAATGCGCGGGTTAATCTTTTTAACAATAAAACAAGAATATAATAAGAAAATACATATAATTACAAGAATATATAAAAATAATGTGTCATAATGTGTATAAAAATATATAGAAAAAAAAATATATATATATACACAAATTTAATCTTTCGTGAGAAGACGCACGATAAAGTTTCTCGCGAATACCAGAAGGATGCATTTTCCTCCGTTTCAGGGCAAAACGTCCGAGGCTCTCTCGAAGCTGCTGTCTTTGAAGGCCACGGACGCGGTGCTGGTCTCGCTCGGGCCCAACAACGAAATTCTCACCGAGCGTTTGATCGGCGTTGACCTGGTGCAGCGCGGCGATGTGCTGAAGGTAGTTCAGGGCGCGAAGGTGCCGGTCGACGGGCGCGTTCTGTCCGGTCAGTCGACCTGCGACGAGAGCCTGATCACGGGCGAGAGCATGCCGGTACTGAAGAAAAAGGACTCGATGGTGATCGGCGGTTCGATCAACCAGAACGGCCCGTTGCTGATCACCGCGACGCACACGGGCGAGCACACGACCCTGGCGCAGATCGTGCGGCTGGTGGAGGAGGCTCAGACGAACAAGGCGCCCATCCAGCACCTGGCCGACAAGATCGCCGGCTACTTCATACCCATGGTCATCGTGGTGTCCGTGGTGACGCTGATAATCTGGATCGTCGTCGGCTACGTGAACATCGAGAAGCTGCCGATATCGCACGACGATCAGATCGATAAACACGGCATAAACCGCGAAGAGATCATCTTCCAGTACGCCTTCCGCAGCGCGTTGGCGGTGCTCGCGATCGCCTGCCCCTGTGCGCTCGGCCTGGCGACGCCGACCGCGGTTATGGTCGGTACCGGGGTGGGCGCGACCAACGGCATCTTGATCAAAGGCGCGGAGCCGTTGGAGAACGCGCACAAGGTGAAATGTATCGTCTTTGACAAGACGGGCACGCTGACGAACGGTGTGCCCGTCGTCACCAGGGTCGCGTTGTTCGTCAGCGAGAGGGTCCACCCCCTGGTGAGACTGCTGCTCATCATCGGCACGGCGGAGGTCAATAGCGAGCATCCCATCGCGTCGGGTGAGTGTGATCTTGTAGGTGCGAGATCCTGATGCATCGTCCGATTTGCCTTCCAGATTGCAGCCGTGTTGTTCTTTATGGATTTATTTCTAACGTTTCGTGAACACGTTTCAGACACAGAGAGGGGGGAAGGGAGAGAATGTGATAACGAGTAATTATTCAGTTTCTCCTCCCTTTTCCGATGAATTAAACTGAGATGTACATAAAGCGTTAGAAACAAGTGCACAAAAGATGCATCCCTCCACGCCGGGAAAGCTCCAAATGTTGAATGTTAATAGATATTAATTAGTGATGCGCTGGACTTAGTTTCCGAATTGGTATCGTATTTTTCACTTCACCAGAAAAAAAGAAGCAGCCCGATACTGATAAATTACCAGGTTGCAATTATCAGGTTACTTTCTCTCCGACGAAGCGAACTTATTCTTAGCAATGTTCACGAAACGTCGGAAACCCGGCTTCAACTAGAGAACCAAACCCAGTGTGTTTTTTATACCGCGAAAGCTTCGTGCGTTATTTTGGGATTTCTAATTTTGCAGCGATCGTGCGTTACGTGAAGGACACGATCGGGTCGGAAACTACCGGGCAGTGCACGAATTTCCAGGCGGTCGCCGGCTGCGGTCTCAAGTGCAGGGTGTCCCATCTGAACGCCGCGCTGAACGTCGCGCTGTCCGACGCGCTGAAATCCGATAAGCTGATCAACTATGCGAATCAGACGAACACGGAGCTGACTGGCACGTACAATCTCAACAACGTGCCCATCGACAACGTGCCGATCGCTGCCTCGTCGCAGGAGATACAGAACTTAGATCTGCAATTACTGTTAAGTCCGGATTCCCAAGGCGACCGTAACATCGACGACGTCTACGAGGTCTGCATCGGCAACAGAGAGTGGATGCGTAGAAACGCGATCACCATCCCGCAGGAGGTCGAGGCGAGGATGGCCAGCGAAGAGGATCTGGGCCACACCGCCGTTTTAGCCGCGGTGAACAATGTCCTGGTGGCGATGATCAGCGTCGCTGACACCGTGAAGCCGGAGGCACACCTCGCGGTCTACACCTTGAAGAAGATGGGCTTGGAAGTGATCCTGCTGACAGGCGACAACAAGAAGACCGCGGCTTCGATTGCCAGGCAGGTACGGACGAGATCTCATAATTATTATCAGCATCGTGCGGTTCGCATCATCGTTTGTTTAATTCGCCCCGCTTCCTGAATAGGTCGGCATCAGCCGAGTGTTCGCGGAGGTATTACCGTCGCACAAGGTGGCGAAGATTCAGAGACTGCAGGATCAAGGTCTGAGGGTCGCTATGGTGGGAGACGGTGTCAACGACAGTCCCGCTCTCGCACAGTCGGACGTCGGGATCGCCATCTCGTCCGGCACCGACGTCGCCGTGGAGGCCGCCGACGTGGTCCTGATGCGTGTATGTTTTCACAAAGGCATCTTGCAGTTAGCACGAAGGCTTTTGCACACGAATTGCCGTAATCGTGAATATGAGACGTAAATTTAGATTAAAGAAGAAACAGCGATATTGCTTTAGGTTTGCCTTCTTTCGAGGAAGTTGCAAGTGACCATGTGACTAGGATTTCAGCCAATCTGGCTATCGATTATGTAATTTTTTCCTAAGGCGAAAACGTGAAAAATGAAAATTCCAAGTGTTCCCGAAGAAAAGTGGAAGATTTAATTTAATTCGAATTTCTAAATTTGGAAAATTTAGATGTCGAATTTAAATTTAATTTAGAAAATTTCAGAATTAGAATTAAACTAAAAAATTCAAATTGGAAATTACACTTTTCACGAATTCATGCTAGAGAAGATTCATGATCGACTTCCAGGGTTGAAGTGTCAATTTTCTAATTTGAAAACACTTTGGAATTTTCCAAAGACGTTTCCTGTGGCTTCTCTCTATGTCTATATTTATGGTTATAGCAGTTCGTGTTCAGAAATCTTAAGCGGCGTGTTTCATACGTATCGTTGCACGTCGTATCTTCTTGCAGAACGATCTACTGGACGTGATCGCGTGTCTAGACTTGTCGCGGAAAACGGTCCGCAGGATACGGTTGAATTTCTTATTCGCTAGTATCTACAATCTCCTGGGTATTCCCATAGCCGCCGGAATATTCAGCTCCTTCGGCTTCTTTCTGGAACCGTGGATGTCCTCAGCCGCCATGGCTTTAAGTTCAGTGTCGGTGGTAGGAAGTTCTTTGTTGTTGAAATTGTAAGTACATTCTTTCTCTTTCACCGCAGCGTTAATCAAGCTTTGTCATTATTTGTTCTTGCCTGTTTCTTGCGACTAATTCGCCTGTGATACCTGAGACCTTCGCTATGTGAAGAAATGCTGAAAATTAATTCAACACGTTGCCAACCGCGCGAGTTGCGCCTTACCAGGTTTTAAAAGCCACTTCGGAAACACGTAGTAACATATCGTGATTCGAATTTTCATCAATCTTGCGATATAGGAATCAATATGATAAAATGTAAAAATAAAAATAATAATTCTCTTCTGGAATAGAATTTCAAAGTTTAAGCTGATCGATCGATCAACAATCACAGAGAAGAAAAGGTGATCCACCCGATCGATTAACAATGTGTTAACCCTTCGTTGGCACCCTTATTTTTTGCTGTTTAATTTGGCACAGGATCTACGAGACCCAGTAACTTTTTCACATGCTATTACTTAAATATCTATAAATGTGCTTATTCAATGTACAGATATTATAGTTTCAAGTGTACAAAAGGCAAATTTGACAAATTTGGCGCAATGATTATTTTTAAAATAGATAATTTAAGAGAGAAAGTGGTGCGAGATAAAGATAGAAAGTAAATTTTTTCACGTTTTAGAAGAAAAGAATGAAGTGTTTACACGGGCAACAATTTAAGATTAAACAACTATAGGACTTTAATTTTCGGCTCGAAACAATTCGACCTATGGATGTCAAATTAGAATTCAATATTAAAAACATTAATTAAGAGAAATAATTAAAAGCATTAACTAGAGTAGACACTTAGAATTAATTAGAATTAATTAGAATAAAAATATTAGTATAAATCTTAGTAATAAAGTAACAGACTTGGTTTTGATGCGTCTCGATTCGTTATGCGCAGCTATCGTAAGCCGACTAAAGTCACCCTGGAGACCTCGGAATATCTAACAGCTATGCACGCCCATTCCACGGCGCGGATGATCGACATGGACGCGATATCTCTCCATCGTGGACTGGATGACTCGGTCGTGCCGGTCATGCACAGGTCGACCTCCACGTTATCCAGGTATGCGCGCACGGGTGTGATGCTTGCCGACTCGCAGGACTGCAATAACTCTGTTGCCTGATGTTGCGTAGAACAAATCTATCTACCTACTTTAATATGGAGAGAGAGAACTTTTCAGTCACTTCTATTGGGTGTACTAATATTTTCGGGGCGCATTTCCGGTGCGTTAACGCTGTTCGCGAGATCGTCCGCGAGACGATTTCGTGCGATTTACTGATTCTCCTTTCGTTCTTCCACTTGTAGATTAAACTCGTACTGTTGAGCTTATATTTTGCACGTGAGAGAATACAGGTGTGTTCCTTGGTTGTACTGGGTTGTACCTTCTTCCTTTAGAATGAAATGAATATGCAGAGTGAGGCGATATAGTTGTTACCACTTTGTGTATCTTCGAAATGTGGGAGTAGGAGAGCAATTCGTCAACAGAATTTGCAGAATTTATCAACGGAAATTGTACATTGATATTAACGATCATCGCTTCGAACACTTTCTGTAACTGTGAACTTTTTTTATTAGTCGTTAGTAAAATATTTTTCTTTCTAAAAGATATACTCAAAAGGTAGTAATAATTGCTGCCCCACTCTGTATAAGGGAAAAGGAACAATGTGTGTGTTCCAATGCATCTGAAAAGAACAGGCTTACGTTTCTTAACGTGCGATTGGGAGAAGTTTGATCGGAAAGCGTTAACGCAGTCGATCGTTACGACCGATTTACCTCTATTAACGCAATATAACGCTCTATTATTTGTACAAATAATACCTGAGGCGTGACTAACTAACCAATGGGAATCAAGCGTAACTAACCCTAAGAGAAGAAATTGTATTTAAGATACTTAATATATTAAATATGCATCATTGAATTGTTCATGACTTTTTCATCACACATATTTTCGTGACGAGCGAATCAGTCTTTTTTTTGTATATTTCATGTACATTCCGTTCATATTGAATATTTTATATTCAATTTTTATATCCGAACGTGTGTTCCTTGAAAAGTACGTGTGGCGACAAACAGGCTGTGAGAAATTCCTCGCACGCGTATTAAATTATTTTCATAGTAATCGATTGTTAAAGTTGACCGATGCTACATCATTGTCTTTTATCGTTCACAGTTCTTTCTCTTGCGGTACCGCGAAACTTTCGTTTGTTATTCGACGAAAATTAGTTTGTTATTTAAAAACAGAACATAAGACTGAGAAAAGCATTGTACGATCAAAGGGTATCATTGAACTTAGAGAATATCTTCTACCGTGTGTAAATATCGTACATTGTACAATGAACGTGTGAAAAATACATGTGAAAGAACGTGTGAATCGTATGAAGAACAGGAACTGTTCTGCAATATTTCACCAACGTTTCGCAGGTTGTCGATTGTATTGTATCATAGACCTCGAGATTCTACAATATTATGTAAATAAAATAAATGTTCGTATATTCTCTAAGAATTATATCATCGTTAACTTAACTATCCATTTATGTTTTCTTTTTGTTACTAATATCTTCGCAATCGCTCTTCGCTTGTATATCTCTCACCGTACCTCCTGTTTAAGATCACGTAGCTTTTTCATCATGAAACCTAACGAATAAATAACAGGCCTATCACCTATGGAAAAATCTGAAATTCTCGGGAAATTTGTTTATGCCTGGAAAAATCCGAGAATTCTCGTGAACTTCTTTCTCGGGTTTAAGTAGACCATCCTGAACGATCTGCTGGATATGGGAAAAAACATTTGTCAGAAACACAAAGTCGGTAATGTATTGTTCCTCATGCATATGCGGCTCGCGAAGAGTGGCAGTTTACTATACCTAACACATTTAACTAGTGCAACTCATTTTGTTTCATAGTTTTATAGTATGATTGATATCTTTGTAGTAATACCTGCGATCGGATCTAACAATGAGTAATTTAGCTTAAATCGCTTCGAATTATTATATTCAGCTAACACATTGCACGTGCGACATCGATGACATTACTTCACACGATGCTCGTTAATCAAACCTCTCTCTGGCATCGCGAAATCTATTTACAGAATATTCGGGAAGTCAAAGCTCGATGTAGAGGGGCATCTTCTCGGCGAGGAGGTAGATGAGATCGATTTGGCTGTCGATTTTTCGAGATATCGCAAAAACGCGAAGGACCCGATGGACATTACTCCCGTGTAATTGACTCGCTGCGAGAGAAAATACACTTCCGACGAGCATTTTTTTTCTCTCTCTCTTCTGTTAACTCGACGCTTCGTTAAACCATTAAAAAGAACATTATTTTTAGTATTGCGTTTCTCTCATCACGGGGCGCGTTAACAGAAAAAACCATGTAAATAGTCTCATCGCTGTCTGAAATAATATTCTTTTACGAAATACTTGTGTATAGGTGTGCGTGTATGTATATATATATAGTCTTATCGAACGATACGCGTGTTTTCTCGCATATACTCTGCCAAATTAATGAAAAAAAAGTACGTTTTATCGAAAGTAGTGCCAGCAAATTCGCACGAGAGCACGTCGCTTCGCGCGTCTCCCCGAGCGATTATCTCGCGTCCGTAATCGGCCCGTGTAATTTCAAACGCGAATTGCGTGTATCGGTAATTTAGCTGTAAACTTATCGATGTAACAGGGTAACAGTACTTTTTCTCTCCTTTTTTTTTACCGCCGTCGATAGTTTCATTGACAAATACAGGTCTCCTCTATGCACGTTACATGCAGATGTACTTAATTTGAGCACCGGACGAGAGAAGGATGTACATTTTTATCATGTTTGAAATATAATATAAATAAATTCCTAAGTTATGCGCTTCCCGTGTATGATGTAGTATATTTATTACGTGAAATCACACACACATATACGCTCCTTTTTTCACTTCTATGAACGCGTTAAAGTATGAGTGCAAGAGTAGTATCTTTATTATTACGAAACGTGCAAAAATAACTGCAGGAGAAAAAGAACTTGCGCGACATATATATATATATTCATACGTATGTCTAGCTTTTATCATATTTTATTTATATCAGCTTCCAAATATACATGTACACACTTAAATCTAGCACCGTATTGCGCAGTGTTAGGCAGCCATATGAGCTGATTACGTATACATCTACACATATTCTGTAACCAAAACCTTCTCGTAATCTAATTCGGAAGAATTATCACATGCTGATATGAAGTGTTTTTCAATAAAAAAAAAAAAAAGAGGGAAATAAAAATAAATTATTATACATGCTTCTAAATTTTCTTCTCTCTGTTTCCACGTGAGAAAAACTCTAAGCGTAAAATTAAAAAAGGAGGACGACAGGCAAATAAGCGCCCTCAGATCTGTTTTCATAAAAAAAGAAAAAAGAAAGAAAAACAATATGATAAAACGATATATAAAAACTCAACGTATGTATCGAAGAAAATTATATTATGTTTCTAAACATATGAAATTTGTAATATTAAATTCAACATCGTTAAAAAGTGTATACTTATAAGATAGATTCGAGTACTTTCGATATCAGTTTCTTGTCTTTGGTGTACATGCAAGATGTACGTAATTCTTCCGGCGGATTAACCGAGTTTGTTTCAGAGGTAGGATTCGCCATGTCAGACATTATGCCGTTGTCCGTATTAATCGCCGTACTATTTTGCTGGACGAAGGTACCCGTCGTCAATCCGTCATCAGTCTTGTAAAGGTCCAATCCGTGGGTGTCGATCGCGGGTAACGCGTTCTCCAGAGCTGGCCTCGCGTACGGAGAGAAGTGATCCTTGTACACACTCGCCTTCGTCGTGTCTGCATTGTAATGATTGATGCCGAAGTATGCGCTTTGTTGCTTCAATTCCGCTTTGCCTGCGTTGGAAATCGCCGAGGTGCTCGCGTCGAGGGAGACCGATGGCGATGCCGCGTTGTACCACGCGGCTGTCGGGATACTCGAGCTGCTATTGCTGGGAATCATCGAGACACTCGGTTGATGCCAGTTGTCGAACAGAGGCGTCGTCGTATTCTCCTTCCTCACCGGGAACTCGTTGCTGTTGAGGCTCGAGTAGTACAGTTTCTTCAAGTTTTCGTCCATGAGTAGCGGCTGGTAACAGTGAAAGTGATTAAACGGCATTGCAGCGGGATTCAGGAAGTTGCCGGAAGAGTTGACCGGCAGAACGTAGCCCGGGGCGACGTTGCCGGCCGCTTGCTGGAACGCAGCGTTCGTCCACGGGAAATTCTCCATGTACATGTTGTTCCACAAGCAGCTCGGCCGGTAGACGGTGCCGCACGGATAGTGAACCTTGTTTTCTGCGAGCAGCTTGTAGGAATGGTCCGTAGAATTGACGAAGGAGTTGTAGTGCGGATTTTCGTTCTGTTTCCAACTGTAATCGGCTACGGTGGTGTACGCGTGATGTTGCTTGTCGTTGGTAGTCGCTCGGTAGCCGCACTGTCCCGCCTCGGTCTGCGCGTTGTTGATGCTGTTGTTCAACACGAAATTCTCATCGCCTTTCAGCGCTGTCATCCAAGAGTTTACTACCGGTATCACCTGCTGATGATTCCTGTACTTCAGATTGTTGTAATTCAAATGCTGCAGTACGTCCGCGTTGTTCTCCGGATCGTACTGACTCGATTCCTGCTGCCTTGCGACATCGGGGTTCGAGAACTTGACGTCGCACACCTTTGTCTCGGGTCTTACGAACGGTGGCAAGGTGCATTTGAAGCATCCTGCTGAATTGACTTTGTATAGCCCTACTTTCGAGCAGTTTCCCACTAGCTCCTTGTCTCCCTGTTTGAGTAACTTGGTTACATCTAGCAGTTTCGATGAAGCCTTGGTCGTCCTCCGTGAGGTAGCCCTCCGCTTCACCACCTTGGCAGGATTTGCCTTCTTTAAGCTTTCCTTCTTATCCTCCGCCAACTGATTGTCCTTCTTAGTTTTCCTGGTAGATACTCTCCTGTTTACTTTAGTTGCTTTCTCTACTATATAAGGGATAGGTTTCTCTTCGTTGTCTTTCGCAGAAACATTCGGTCCTTCATGCCTTATGATTTTGTCCTCACAAATTTGGGATGGCTCATTCTTCAGTTCTTTGTGATCCAGATATCTATCAATGTTATTGGCGATTGATTCAATCGTTGAATTACATGCGCTTATTTCTGATTTTACTATGGTCTTGTCCACTGAAGTTTGATCCACTATAAATTAAAAAAAATATTCTTCATATTCAAGAAATGTTAGAAATGCGTGTGTGTGTGTGTGTGTGTGTGTAAACTAGTAGGCACAAGAAATTTGAACAAAGAAATAAATGACTTAGGTAAAAAGGTTTACCAGGATTAAATCTTAATAATTGATATTTCTGTCGTTTAGAAAAGAAAGAATATTTGAAGAGATTATTGTCTACTTTGTTGTACACAGATACACAATTCCGTCTTGTATTTACTTTGTTCCTTTGTTCTTTTTTTCACATGACATTACCTTGTTGCTTAACTCTTATCTGTGGAAAATCAAACTGCTCTTCACGTTGTAAGGACGTTTCCCTTCCAGAGACGACGTTTACTTCCGTTATATTTTCCATTCTACAACACAGTTTCTATATAAATACCAATTTCTCACACAATTCACTCGATGAAAGCAAGATAAACGGATAAATGGCTACTTACGAAGTAGATATGAACCTTTCTTGTTATATGTGATTTTCACTGTATTTATTAAACAAGACACTCGTAGTGTTTCTAGAGGATAATTTACGTGACGCAATATATAAAATATCGTAATCCAAGAATTGACGAGCTTCCGACACGTCTTTTGACGATCTATCTTTCCGCGTCGTCTGATGAATATGCCGGAAAACCGCTAATGGACGTGATTGATCGAGGCGACGTATCGGAAGAAAATTATTCGAATATTATCTGTACTTCCGTAATAGCGCGTCACTATTACCAATAGAAATCGATAAGAGTTTCCGATTTGATTGAGCAATATTGGCGCGCTAATTTCAATTTCAATTCTTTCCAAGTAGGACTTACCGATCTAATTTTAATATCCTAGTTTAGAAAATTACTCAGAAGGCTGTCGAAAATTTGCCATACTTAACATTAGTATTATACGTTAATGTAAATTAATAAAATTGTTTTGAATAATACAGAGAGTAATGAGAAATACTTTGTATATTATTTCCTATTTTGTCTTCGATCAAGACAGTAAAAAAGGTAATTGCGTATAAAAAACTATTTTTATTTCTTTTCAAATTGCATAGATATTATTGTATCGCATTATTAAAATTGTTAACATTATCTAAAATATGCGTGTATAACACGCTTTTTACACATATATAGAATAACATTAGATTAGTATTAAAACAGCTTTTTTGTAAATATATGAGTTACTAATTTTGAAAGTGGTGGAAATCTATTTCCTCCTTTCTCCTCTTGACATAGATATTTGTAATGTATAGCAATCAAATTATCGATCTTTCTCAGAGTTGTGCACCACTTTCAAAATCAACTTACATACATTTGCTAATTTTAATTAGTTTAGTTTATTAAAATTCTCCTTATATTCTTTTATATATATATAGATATGCACATATAAAATCTTATCTAGCAGATTGAATTATAAAATTCTTAATATACAGAGAGTATCTTACATCTTAATACTATTTAGACACAATTAGAGAGAATTCTTATAATCTTCAGTAAAACTATTTCCTTATCATTGGCTATTACTAACGGTACAAATAATTTAAGCACATACAAAATCACAATAAAATACACAATAAAACCATAAGTTAAAACTTAATTAAAAAAGCTCATCCACAAAAATATGTCTTCTTCTTTGACAGTTATCGATGGCAATTGAGGCACATTTTTTGTTCTTCCTGATTATATCTGAAACAAAAATATATCCACAGAAATTGTTGGAGAATGTACGTGTCCCAATTGGCAGATAAAAGCATGCATAGTAACTTCTAATTTACATGAATAAAGAACAATTCTGGCAGAATAATTCTGAGCATCGGACGCACGCAGACAGACAAGAAGCACATAATATTTGATCACAGTAATAACATCTGTTTACTGTAGATTGATCTATCACTCTGCAATATCCACATGTATCCACTTGTATGTCCTGGAAATAAATAAGGTTGCAGAAGTCTATATAGAACAATTCAGGTTTCAGTAGTTGTGGAAAACTTACACTGATGATTTTGTCACTAGCCATCAGTTGTAATTTATTGGTCAATTGCATCTGTTTCAAATTGGATATAGATTTTAATTTACAAGACGATGGTGGTAGTGGTGGTAAAGGCAAGTCTGTAAGATCCATTTGCGTGGATTTTCTTGATTTGTGTGACAATGCTTTAGCACCTGCCTTAAGCAGGTTCAAAGTTTTATCTAGAAAATTCAATGGGAACAAAATTAGATCATTGCAACTGAGTTTGCAATTATCATTGAGCATGATAATAATTATATCTTCTCAATATAAGTATTTCATACATATATACTTGATTATTTGCATAGTACATAGAGAACTCATATTCTAATTGAAAATTAATGAGCACTAAAGCGAAAACTACGAATCACAAAACCGAGCACAATCTTACCGTAAACATTCTTCAGCCGCTTGTCACTGGCCACACCGTTGTCTACTTGTTTCTGTCCCACGTGTATTTTTATTTGCGGCAACAAGTCTTCCTCGTAAGGGCACGCGCGTTTTGGCATGTTTGAGGCAATCGTTTTGTTTAATTAGTTACTTAATTACACAATTATCACGAGTAACGATGCATAGCCGATAGATTATATCTTTATCAGATTTACTCTCTGATCTACGTATTTAGAAAATAAAAGACCTTCTGACTTATTGCTGAGTCGCACTACTATCTCAATTCTCAGAACAGTGGCGACTCGTACCGGAGAGATCGGAACTAACAAAAAATAACGAGCAAAAATGAACCTGGGGATTTGGTCTGTTCTTTATAGCTGTACTGCTGAACTGGTGCAATAAGTTGAAATAAGAAAACATATACTTGTCTCATTTCATGTTATTGCACCAATTATTGCACTTATAGCATTAAAGAACAGACCATTTACGATTCTCAGCGATCGCGAAACCTTTAGTCCTAATCTATAATAAGTGCAGTAAGCTTTAAACTATAAGAAATTGACCAATCACAGTTAATTATTCTCTTCATATTCGACTGTGATTGGTCAATTTCTTAAGATTTAAGATGTAAAATTCCTATTGTGGACCGGCACTTACTCGCTGTTTCTTCCGTAAAAGCGGCAAATTGATTGGTTATCCTGTCGTTCCATTTGTCTGCAAAAAAAACATTACGAGGGGGATCACCGATGTCGCGATTTCTATTCGTCATGAAATCAACTTCAATGTCGTAATTTTCGCGAAACGTCGCAGCGCGAACGTCTCGGATACGCCTCCACACCGCGATAAAACCCGAAGGAACCACGCGAGGAAATCCGCGCGCGAGCGGAACGCGTTCACGGTTCGCAGATAAAAATGTAGGGTTACTTAACCTCGCCACGGACGAGCGAATGCACCCCACAAGTCTCGCGGAAGTTGGCGAGGCGCAGCGCAAGACACGCGTGTTGTTCCGTTCCTGCTTCGCGAAACGAAGCGTTACGCAACGCGAGGCGCATATTTCGGCTGGTACGGGCGCACGATGAGCGACATCGAAAACCCGGAGAACCCGGACTCCCCCAGGTCATATTACGCGCTGCTGGTCGCGTTCAAGACCATGAAGGAACGCTGTCAGCAACTGCAGACGCGACTGACTATGGTGGAGGAAGAGAACGTCTGTCTCAGGCTCAAGTGTGGCAGAGATGCGTCCACGGATGTCACGAGAGCTGATGGCAACAATGCTGATAAAGATGTACAAACGCTGCAGGTGTGTGTGTGTGTGTGTGTGTGTGAGAAAGATAAATGTTATTCACAAACGACAAATGTTTGACACATTTGTTACTGTGGTTTATTTATATAGGGAATTCTCCCTACTTATTACATTATATTTTTTATATAATTATGTAAAACAAATTTTGTTTAGGAGAATATGGAAAGAGAAATGATTACTCATATAATTTGTAAAAATATGTTGTTGGGGAGAAGGAATTATGTACAATTGAGAAATTTTGAATAGACTTGAAGCAAGAGATCGGTGTGTCATACATGTGTGACACTGGTGGCGAAATTTATTAAATGAGAATTATGTTCCTTGAAATCTTGGTTGATGCACACATGCTCTTATAATCAAGTTCATTGGTCAATCATATAATTTTTTAAAGCAGTACTTGCTTTAACAGCATACAGAACATCTGAATCAGATTTAATCTGTATTAACCGTTTAGCTTTCTAGCTATTATAATCAATAAATCATCTTTAAATAGTGTTGAGCATATGCAAGGGTAGCTGGAGTCACAAGTTGAAGAAAGAAGAAAAGAAAAAATCATGTTCTTTTATAGTTTGTATTATGTTTTATATAATCGCATTTTAACTATTTAGTACCTAAATTGTGGAAAAATGTTGAATTTTCTAAAGTTTGTATAATATATTTAGATACATTGATGCATAATTTGTTGAAATTTTAGCTTTTACGAAACAAGAATATTAGGATGTATTATTATTATAAGTCGAGAAACAATAGTTTCTGCGAGAAACAATGCAAATAATATGCTTTTTAATTGCAGGAAAAGGTAGAAGAGCTTACGAAACAGAAGTCGCAGCTTACTCATCATGTTATCATGGTAGCCACGGAGAATCGTCGATTATGGGACAGATTAACGAAACTAACGAAAACTAATAAATCTTTAGGTAGCCAATTAACAAAAATTTCAGATACGCTTAAGCAACATCCTCCCGCACAGCCGTCTGATATCTTATCGTATAGCTTTCGTGATATCACTGTTTCGGATAAACAAGATGCTAACAAGAAACACTTATTAACTACCGATAATGGTTTGTATGAAATTAAAAGATATCGCGAGAGAAAATTTTTATCATTAACAGCGCGTATTTCTCTCAGGTGATAAGGAACATAGTTTAGAGGAAATATCCCTTCGACTGATAAATAGTATTAAGTTAGAAAAGTCTACTCTCGAACAACAATATGCAGAGGTAAAGAAAACTTGACTAATCATTTCTTCGAAATTGATACACTAAAGATAATATCTCTTATTCGAAATCTCATCGTTTGTAGATGGTGGAGTTACAGAATGGTTCTGAATTAAATTTACAAAATATCGGCTTCACATATCCAGAGGATTCCGACATGGATTCGTTGGAGCAATTGAAGCAACATGAAATTCGGTTATCTCAAACTAAAGATGCCTTATTAAGACAGCAAACTAGATTACAAAGGGCTCTACAGAACCTCAAGAAACTGAAGCAAGGTAAGTTTTAAAATCATTTTACATTATTACAATATCGAAATTCGCCCTGTTGCTGATCAGTTTTGTTTATGAACTGATTATCTTTGTATTTTTTTAATGTCAAATTGTGCATTGACCAAGAAACAAAAACACATTTAATTAATCTTTAATAATTGAAATCTTCGAGAAGAGTAACAATTTAAGTAATTAAAAATCGGTCGATATTTTATTTATATATTTGCACACAATGTATATATATTTTCTTCGATCGATCTTCGGTAATTCGACAGCTGACGTGTGTAAAGTTTCTCACGAAACCGTCGAGAGACTTTAAAATGAACGTATGTTTCTCAGGGGCAACGTGTAACAATTGTCGAAAGAATGCAAATAAAAAAATGTGTCAAATGGGTACTCAATCTGATTCTGACGACAGCTTCAAGGAACACGGAGCTACTCAGACTAGTCTTATGACACCCAGCATTTCGATGGAAAAGTGTACTGCTAAACACTCGGATTATTCCGACATGGACATCAATATATGTCCGTTGTGTGGAAAAAGTTACGGAAAGTCCGTCTCGTTTGCGGAATTCCATGAACACGTGTTAAGTCATTTCACCAAGGAACTGTCTTTAGATGGTTTGAATTCTTGCACTGATTTCCGCACGTAGAACAAATTGATACGTCCAGACAATGTGCGCTATTGCCCTCGTATGATTTCGACGCGTATATATACGAGATTCGTGTTTTAATTAGATTTACGGAATATTGAAGTGTAGATACACGTTAGTTAATAGCATAAAAACGATACAACGGATCAGGATGAAACAAAGAATAATTACTATGCATTGCACACAGAGATGTATCTATTTTTATAATAATAAATAGCGAATTAAGAAACATTTGTTTACCAATTGAACAAAAACTAATAAATATTCTACTTTCCATGTAAAGCGTTATATGTACAGCGCACTGTGGGAAATTCAACTATATCAATAGACTTCGTTATTTTAGTTGAATGAATATCTTCTACATATATCGACATTTTGTTAAACGAGCTCTATCGAATTTTGGAAGTTTACTTTCATATATTTTTATAAATGCTTTGTTAAATTTGTATATCTATATTTATTTATTATTATATTTCATTTCTATTTCATTTCAGATCTATTATTATATTTATTTTCTTACATATTATTTTTAAGTTATTTTTACTATATTTTGTTAAATTTTTATATTTATGTGTTATATCAATACTTTTGTTTTATTNAAAAATAGCCTTGTACTACAAGAGCGACTTTCCGTTAAATAATGATAATAATACAAGCAACAAAAATGCGAATTAACATGATAAAACGCGACACAAACTATTATAAGAAAAGTTATGTATTTTATCAATTTTAGATAACGGAAATCTTTGACTTTTTAAAATGTATATAACTTTATAAACTCTTCTCTCTTGATTATAAATTTATTTATTGATCATTAAAACGTTTGTTAACATAGTTAACATAGTATTGCTATGTTGAAATATTTACAAGTTTGAAACTGTTATAAATAAACGTGGAAGAAATAGACATTGATTTTTTCAATACTACAACTCTGATGTTTCATTTAATATTTATATGTTTAGTTTATTTGTGAAAATGTACTACTTACAAAGTGAGACACATCCTAATCTGATAAACTCGATCTTCATTAACTTGGCATTATTTTAATCCAATTCGACAGATATATCCTAATTTTCGACCGGAGATTGTTAAAGTCTGATTTCAAGCACGTCTTATGCGAGATTCGTGGGTTTGACATCCGTCTCACTTGATGGTTCCTGTGTTGTTGGTTCGAGTAAATTCTTGTTAAACCATGCAGGCCTTTTCTTAGGCATTTCAACCACTCTTTGGTTCTGTATCAAAGAATACATAAATTTAAAATACATTCTGAGAAATTACTATCATTATCTACAAAGTATTCGCAGTACCTTCCAGAAATCTTCTGTTTTCTGATCTTTTTCTCCATCATACAGCACAATTACATTCTTTTCTACTGGGCTTAGTCCTAAATTTTTCTGAATGGCATCTTGCATTTCTTTAGTCTCAAGCTTTACTTTCTCATAACAATATCCTATATTGTATGATAAAGGAATATTGACAAAATGATGCTAAATTTGTACATATACTTCATATATAATCATTGTACATATTCATCATATATAATTAAATCTGTTTTAATCGTATATATTTCTACATCTTTTATATCTAAAGCAGAACTGAAAGATATATCAGAAGGAACACTTTGGAACTACTACGAGCAATTAGAGGATTATTTGCAATAATTTGAGCAATTTCAAGTAAATTATTTTAGAAACAAATATATATATATACTTCTTACTTCAATCATATTGCTTTATAATAGAAGATTTTACAAAGAATTTCATTATCTTATTATTAGTACGAGTAATACTTACCACATAGGCGATTAGCTTCATAGTGATGACCACAATTTAAGCACATCAATAGATTGGTTTTTTGAACTAGTGGCTTCCATACGTATTCCTTAAATCCGAATCTTCTTTTATATCTTATTTCCAAACTACGTCGGTGCTTTGGAACTGCCCACAAAATGCCGTTCTCAAAAATCTCTTTTAAAGATCGGCTACCGAGACGATTGACTGGTTTCGGTTCGCTCAAGAAGTTACCGCAATCAATTGCGCATAGCGGTCCTACGTAAAAAAAAATGAAAAGCTCGTTTTAATTCAACATACGTAAGAATTTAATAAAAAGTAAAATCTGATTGAAATTATTTTGTCGTTTCGTAAACACGAAGCGGATCACATTGCACGCGGTTGCCTCGATTGAGGTTAAGAAATATGCAAAGTTAAAATGTCTCTTAAATTGTTCATGTCGACTTTCCAAAATTGTTTCGGCACTCTCGTATATATATTAACTTTCAATTACTTGGAGGAAATCCATGGCCAAGAAATATCTGGATTGCTTGGTCTAATTTTTGAAGAACCAAATTGAACCGACGAAGAACACCGCCCGCCATTTTAAGTTTACCATCATAAGTTCATCTTAAGATGCTTCATATCCAATGAAATAAGCATCTGAAGTAAACTTAAGAAGGCTTGCTGATAGGTCTGACGGAGGTGTTCCGAAATAAACTGGCGGTACTAGTTTCCTCATCTTGGTAAATATACATTTGGACCAAATCATTACTTTTGCTTAGAGATATTTTATATTGTTGACGAATATAATGATTGAATATAGAACAAAAGATTTCAAATCGTAAGTCGCAAAAGCGGACAGAAGGGAGCGTGATTTCGGGCTCAACAAACGGCAGGTTTCCGTTGGGGGAAGACACCTAACCTAACATTACTGTACCCGACTAGGTAGGAAGGGCATCGACAGTCCAATTTTTCCAATACAAGTCGTAAATCAGGCCGTTACAGTTACAAACGTTGTGTTTCTATCGAAACAGGAAGGAAGGAGGAAACGCGGTGCCGGGACCATCGCTAAAATGGCCAACTCGTTAGCGAACGTGACCGTGTCGAGCATCTTGAAGAACAAAAGTTCTTTCGAGGACGAGCCGCGGAAGAAGAGCCGGGAGGATTGGCGCAAAGCAAAGGAACTCGAGGAGGCGAGGAAGGCTGGCACGGCTCCGGCTGCTGTCGATGAAGAGGGAAAGGATATTAACCCGCACATACCTCAATACATCAGCGCGACGCCATGGTACTTCGGCGCCCAGGGACCCACCTTGAAGCATCAGCGTCCGCAGTCCGAGAAGCAGAAGCAGTACAGCTCCATAAACTCGTGGTACAACCGTGGAGTGGATAATTCGAAAGCGGTGGGCAAGTATCGCAAGAATGCCTGCGAGAACTGCGGCGCGATAACGCACAAGAGGAAGGAGTGCATGGAAAGGCCGCGCAGAGTCGGCGCCAAGTACACAAATTCCAAGATAGCCCCCGACGAGTTCACCCAGCCTGAGCTGTCTATGGATTACGACGGCAAGAGAGACAGATGGGCTGGATACGATCCGTCCGAGCATCGAGCCATAGTGGAGGAATACCAGAAGGTCGAGGAGGCGAAGAGGCAGATGCGGGCGGAGAAGCTGAATGCTGAGGAGAACGATGAGCAGGACTCGGATAAGGACGAGGACAAGTACGTGGACGAGGTGGATATGCCGGGCACCAAGGTGGACTCGAAGCAGCGTATCACGGTGAGAAATCTCCGCATACGAGAGGACACCGCGAAGTATCTGCGCAATCTCGACCCGAATTCGGCGTATTACGATCCCAAGACCAGGTCGATGCGGGATAATCCCTATGTCGGCACCGAGCGCGAGGTCGATTACAAGGGTGAGAATTTCGTGCGTTTCTCCGGCGACACGCAGCAACACGCGAACGCGCAGCTGTTCGCCTGGGAGGCGCACGAGAAAGGGGTCGACGTGCATTTGCTCGCCGAGCCGACGAAGCTGGAGCTGTTGAAGCAGGAATACGACAAGAAGCGGGACGAGTTGAAGGACAAGGCGCGGGACAGTATAATCGAGTGGTACGGCGGGGAGGAGCACCTCGAGGCGCCGCCGAAGACGTTGCTGTTGGCACAGACCGAGCATTATGTCGAGTATTCGAGGTACGGTAAGGTAGTCAAGGGTCAGGACAGGCAGGTGATACGATCCAAGTACGAGGAGGACGTCTACCCGAACAACCACACGTCGGTGTGGGGCTCTTACTGGCAGGACGGCAAATGGGGTTATCAATGCTGTTATTCCTTCATCAAAAATTCCTACTGCACCGGGGAGTCCGGGAAGAAATCGGCCGAGGCTGCGATCAGTAATGCGCAAGATAAAGTATCAATTGCGAGCGTCGAAACAGAGGAGCTGGAGAGCAACGAGTCCCGACGACTGTCGGATACCGCAGGCAAGGACCGTTCTTCGAGCAGTGAGTCCTCGTCCGACGACGACGACGACGAAGATACGAAGAACAAGATTGAGAGGCAGAGCAAGGCGGCTAAACGGAGATTGAAGAAACAAAAGAGGAAGGAGAGTCGTAAGAACAGAAGGAAGATTGAGAAACAGGAGGATAAGCTGAAGGAGGCGTTGAGAATGGAGGAGGAATATGCGAAGGAGGCGGACAAATTGTTGAGGATGGACGAGAGGAAACGTCCGTATAACAGCATATACGAGGCGAAGGAGCCGACGAACGAAGAGATAGAAGCGTATCAGATGAAGCGGAAACGCGATGAGGATCCGATGGCTAATTTTCTGTAAAAGTTATCACCACCGTATTGTTCGCAACGTTGTGAATTAACGTTGCATATATTTGTACAGTGAATTAATCAAGCGTAACATTAAGCGATCGGGTGTGTTTAAGAGAGAAATAATAAATAATGCACTGAATATTAACGTTAGGTTATCATAATCTTAATATTTAAATGAAATGTAAGTAAAGAGAAATATAAATATTAGTCTTGAGTTAAACTTGAAACTTTGTGATTGGTGTATATATCTTTAACCAAGATGAATCGACTTAGTGTTCATGAAAGATTAAAGCAGCTAATTTCAATTTTGACACGCTCTCTATTTTATTGGTTGTTATAAGTGATTCTCAGCGTTGCTACTTGATCTCCTTCACTTCTAGTAATCAAATCTAATTCTCAAAGATCCCCGACTAAGACTTTTCTAATTGCCTATTCTGAGTTATTCAAACATAAAGCAATATTCTGATTGGTTCCCTCTTAATTTCAACTTTCGTCTACATCTACGGCAATTTGTGCAGTACGACGGTCCTCGACATGACAGTTTTTTGATCCAAGTATAGTTCTGCGTTCGAGAAAAGATGTCAATTTAAAAGAGCAGAAGAGAAGAAACTAATCTATTGGTGTATTCAGTCATATTTTTTTCTATAGAGCAGAATATAGATTCGAAGAATAAATAATGGCGCGAGAGATATTGACCATTCAATTGGGACATTATGCCAATTTTATCGGCACATATTGGTGGAATCTGCAGGTATTAATTTTATATTTTATTTACAGATCTTAAGCCCCCTCCCATTCTTAATTATTCTTTTAAAGATCACAATGCACTGTAAGATTTTTTGTTGCAGACCTCCAATTTCACGTACGATCCGAAAGATCAAGCTGAAATAAATCACGATATGCTGTACAGGGAAAGTGAAAATCTGCAGGTAATGATATTATAAAATCATTAATTATGAATAGGTGTATTATATATATGTGTAATATATATGATGTATTCAACTGCTATGTAAAATAGTAAATTGACATAGTAATTATAATTTGACAGTTGCGTTTTGCATTAAACGAACCAGATGAAGCTAAGCATTCAACTTCGAGCGATGACGAAAATGACATGAAATCATCATGTGCTGATTATCTTTTACCTTTGTTTCAACCGAGATCATTGACAGTTATCAAAGAATATTCGCATAATTGTAAGTATCCACCGTTTGATATATTCACATATGGTTGCAATTTATGGAAAACAGAGCAGTTCTCCGATCACTTTTCAGACAGGATAAGATCTTATGTAGAAGAGTGAATTTGGTGCAAGGGTTTCATATATGTATTTGGCCATTATTATACGCCAATTTATTCAGTTGATGAGAGTGTTCAATCTGTTGATGTTGATGCAAATGTACGTGTAACATTTATTCATTTTAAAATGCACTCGGTCACAATTGAGTATGTGGTTTTCTCTGAGAATTTACTGTTCTCTTCATTAGCACGGGAGCCGGGTTGCCGCTCGGTTGCTTCCATTGTGCGGATCTCGCGAACGTGTCGCGCAACGAACGTTCGAAAAATGTCCCTGCAGCTGGATACACATATGACATGACATCGACGTATCGTGGAAGACCTTCATCAGGGAGTCCTCCAGCGTGCGGGACGGGTCTCTGGAAAGACGCATTCATCAGTTGGCCTTCCAGGGAAGCGAAGCTAAAGCCGCCTACGAAGAGATTAATTAGTGTTGCACGTGCCGTATTATTTATATATATATCATAAAGTTAAATAATAATGCTATATTAAAAATATTAGAAGATAAGACGATCATGTTATACCGCTCAATCCCGAAATGTCAATTTCCTCTTCCTTTCCCAATAGAGCAGTTAAGGGGGTCATCCCGTGTGACGGCTTCAAAAAATCGATTTTTTCAGAATCGATTTTCAGAACGTATGAAATTTATGAGAATTGTAGAATATGTTTATGATAGCAGTGAATAGATACGAGCGTAAGCCACTTGATAACTATATTAATGCTGTATTAATTAAGCAAACTAATTTTTAAATATTTCGATAACCGAGTCTATTTATTCACGCGATAATATGGATTAGCCATTATCGAATTTGTCAAGATTCGGAACACTTATATAATGTTTGATTAGTTATTCTTAGAGTTCATATTCATGAAATTAGTGGAATGTAAGTTGGACAAAAATGAATAATTAATCAAATATTAAAATAGATAATATTAAAATAGATAATATTTGATTAATTATTCATTTTTGTCCAACTTACATTCCACTAATTTCGTGAATATGAACTATAGAAAAGATATTTTATAATATCTAATGCTAATTTAATTAGAAAACAATTTTTTATTCCATTATGATTCTTATTATGAAAAATTTGATATATTGATAAGTTTCGAAACGCATCCCGTGTCAAAGAATTTGTTTCTTAGTAATTCGCGGTAGATATGCTTTCCTATTGGATATGAGATACGTTATGAAACTCGTTGAAAAGAAAAGTGCTGCAACCTTTTTGTAATTGACCACATAAGACCGATCACAAGACGGTTGCACATACTTTTCGATGAGTTTCGTAACGCATTTCATGTCCAATAGGAAAATGGATTTCCTGAGAATGATTAAAGAACGAATTTTTTTCATTAGAAACGATATTCATTCCAAAGCTTACAGAAAAAATAAAAATGTCGCAACCGTCCCGTTACACTATGTTAAATTATGCATTTGTGTTTTCATTATATGCATGAGATCATTCGTGTCATAAAACAAATGAAAATCCAGAACTAGGTAATTATCATAATTCACGTCACAGAGGACGTGTAACGCACAATATGCACATGAAATGATTGGACACTCGAATTCGAGTAATAAGAATCGCAGAAGAGATCGTTCGCCGATCAAGTGGCGAATTCAAATCTCCCTTGAACACGCGCGTTTTCGTCGATCGATTCTTTGTATGAAGGCACGCATGCGGCTTGTGTGCTCATGGGAAAGCATGCCTCGCGAAAACCTCCGTGAGCTCCGGTGAAAAAGTGACCCACCACCGGTGAAAAGAGAGCCCCGTGCTCTGGTTTTTCCAGTCAGAGATTCGGATAACACAGTGCGCCTAGGATAATAAAGGGATGGAGGGGCGGAGCGTGACGCTCGTGAGCGGTGGTGGGAACGAGCGGATAGTTGGGAGAAGTGTCGGAAAAGAGCCAGACAGCTCGGTCAGTCGGTGGAGTCCGCTCACTACAGTCCTCGCTATGGCGTGTATAGCGTCGGGTAGGCTCTGTGCTCGTGCGGAGAAACTGTGCCAGTTCGGACATTTCGCCCAATTACGGAGGGAAGTTACGACGACTACGTGCGCGAAATCACGGCTAGCAGTCGGCCGAACGTGCGGCGCGCTCCTGCAACGATGCCAGGTACATTTTCCACTTACCGACGAGCACCCGCTCGTCTGTCAAGCCCGATATCCGTCTCTCTCTTTCTTTTTTCCGCAGCTTCACCGCGGATACCCGCGTTCATATCGTCACGCGGACTGCGCCTCCGCCGCGAGAACGCGAGCGAGGGCTTCGTCGGGCATGACTCGTCTTGCGAAAACGCATCATCCCATTCAGCTTTCGCGAGTACGTCGCTCCGTTTCACGACGCGATCGTACATAACCTTAAGGGTGCGCGCGCGAGCGGTGGCAACGGCGGCGGCGGCTCGTCGCGCACGACTTAACCTATCTGCCCGTGAGCCGCGGTTTTTGTGGCTCAAACGCGCGCGAGATGGCCCGGGCACACCTAGTCGAGCGTTTTCGAGTAGAGGTTTAAAGATCAACTACCATGTCTGTATTAAATTACATAACATATGTGTCAGGTCGCGGGTTTCGTCTGCTCAGGATGCTGCATGCTTTTCGCGTTCTCCGAGAGACGAGGGAAAGATGGTCGGGGAGAAAGAGAGAGGCAACTCGGCCGGGTTGTCGCGAGGAAACAAAATATGCATGTCCGTGAAATGATGGAGAAAATTTCTCGGAGGAACGATGTGTTTATCAGTCGCCCCCAGCAGACGCTATCTGGGTCGTCTGCTAATGACATTCCGCGGGATCAAATCAGCAACTTGCTTGTTAACAAACAAACTTGTGCACGGAGAGTTCAAATCAAATGTGTTATCGCGATCTGTATTTCCACATTACGTCGTTCGCACGACGCGAATTTCCGTTGAAAAATACAGATAAACAATTCGCGTAGTTTAGACGCTACTTTGACTACATGAGCGTACGCCGTTCTCTGTGCGCATGCGTGCGTTCAACATTTGATTTCGCCGATTCGCTCTCGGTTCCGTCTACTTCGCGCGGACCTGTAGATATTTTTCTCGAGCTTTACACTTCTATTTATGACCTTGGAACGCTCGATTACCAAATGTTTATCGAGTCACGAGGATATCGCATGTCTTGAAGCTGCGTCAGAAAGTCGCGCTGTTAATTTTTCAAAGGTTGCGCTAGTTCAGAAAAAAAGTTAGCTATCAAAGTTGAAATATAGCTGTTTTACTAATAAGATGCATATTTGAAATAGAGATGATTAATGTTACTGATACCGCAGCTAAATTCATTAGCTATTTGAATTTAGGCTGCAACGAAAAATATTAGCTAGATCGTATTAAAGTCATATTTGCATTCTCGAAACTAGAAATGTATTATCTTTTTTAGAATTGTCTTGAAGTTGTTATTAAGATGTTGGTATATGCTGATTTTGTTTGAAATTGAGCCATTTATTTTATTTATTGCCATATTCAATTTGAAAAACACACGTAAGCACTGATAAACGCGAAGCCGAGATCTCTGGATCGTGAGTTAGTCACTTTAGGCAGAGGAGACCAGGGTGAGAAGTTACACGAGCTAGTTGTCAGAAAACTTACATCTCACTTGATAAATAGGAGTGACAGGAACGTTTGAAATATTTAAAAATAATAGAGATTAAATTCTAGACCGTTAATTTTCTTGCACAGTGAAAACAAAGTTTGCTAGAATAACAAATGTTTGTCAATATAGTGACAGCAAAAAAAAGTTTATTTAGACAGCAAACAATTTGTTTGGAATTTATTTTTTGCTGAAACGCAAATGATTTGTTTTTACATGTTTTGAGATTTGCATCAATTGTATATGTATAAGCATTGACATATTTCATTTTTTTTATAATTTTACATATGAATATGTAAAGTTTAGTTTTATGTTTTACGTTAATATTAGTCAGCGTCAGCGTCTAAGATTACCAACGATTTATGAGATGCCAGTTGATTTTTGTGCATCAAGTGTAAAATAAAAATGGAATTGGCATGTAAAAATACAGGATGGGTATCTATTGTTATTTTCGCGATGGAAATTCTTTTTTTCGACTTTTGTCAAAATGCAAACGAGAAACTTTTTCGCGAGTTCAAAAGGCTGCGTCGTAACCTCACATGCGAACGCAACATTTGCTGCACGTGTATATGATATAAAATTTTGAATGCATTAATTCACATTGGTGTTAAAAATCAATTAATATTTATCAAATTTTATGCTTCGCTATAAAAGTTCGTTTACTGTGGGTTTAATAAGGAATTATATATTTAATGATCAAACGGGTCAGCGACGCATCTAATGTAAGATGCGAATATTTTGCTTGATCTGATGAAGAAAATTTTCCTTTACGAAAGGATGTTACAAAAAGTCCTGAATTGAAATGATTTTAACTGAAATTCAATTCAAATTCAGCGTACCACATACGATCCAAGTTTGATCCTCAAGGGATAAAATTACAAATACCTATCCTCATTGTCTCACACGTTAGCCGTGATCCACCCAGTATACGTCCGTTCCCGGGAGATCGCAAGTACAGTTGCAATTTTGCGAGCCGAGGCGTACGTGCGAAATCGCGACGTACTTTCTCGACTTCGATCGAGAGCGTTGCAGAACGCGGACGGGCGAGTTTTGAAATTCGACCGTCGATGAAGATTCGCGGATCGTCGGCCCGAAAACTTAATTGGTGTTACGCAAGACTTAGACAAACTAAATTCGAGCTGCAAGCGGAACCGTCGCTGAAGACGTTTCGTCGTGTCCCTTTGTACTCTTTTTTTTTTTCTCTCGAGTCTGTCGTTGATAGGACAAACGGAGACTAACGATGACGTTGACGAAGATGACGACGAAGACGACAACGATGATTGTCAATATTATCGAATCGACGAACGGGCGACTGGTCGGATGAATTTTCGAGCTGTACTCGCGCTCGTAAGTAGGCTAACTGGCTTTTGCGAGAGATCCCTCTTGGAGCACATCGGCACCGCGGTATCCGGCAGCGCTCTTGACTTTCTCGACTTGGCTGAGCAGCTGCGCGTCGTCCCCACACTTGTTTTTTTTTGCGATTCCGCGACTTTTACTCCTCTCGTGGAAGTAACGACATTTTCCGATCGAGAGTGAACACGGATTGCATTTCAAAATATATTAACAAAACAATGTTGCAATTTTTTAGTGACCAATTTCCATACGTCAAAACAACTCATATCGGCGCGCACAGTCGCGATGTTGGTGTAACAACTTCCACTCTGAATTTTTACCGGTCTACTTGCCGGAGAAAACCGCGGTGGTCTAAGTCGCCCGAGCGAAATTATACTCCAAACATGATTTTTACGTTAGCGTTACGGCTCACGTTCGTACACTGGGCCGATACACTCCGTACTTGACATATGGCGTACGCACTTTTCACATTCCTCTCTCGTAAAAGGCGCACATGGTGCAGAGAGAGATATGCACGTGCAGGAATGCATGAATATGTTCACAATGCAATTATTCTTGTTAACGCAACGAATTACTGCGAAGTGTGTTTAACAAATTAGCATCGGCACAGAGGAACCGCGTCTCTCCTCGACGGAATACCAATAGTCGATCTGGCGATGGAGAACACTGATTACCGACCGGCGAGAATCATACCGTGATGAAATGCCGCGTTCTGAAATAATTAACTTCTTCTGATTTCACGGAATAATAAGGGGAGGACGGTGTCGCATACAATAGCATACGTACACAAAATAGCACGCGCGACTCGAACGCGAAATGTTCTTTCTCTTTTCTCTTGAGCCGAGCATTAAACTGCACGGAAACAAGGTGTTGTTGCATCAATGGAATTGGGTAACAGTGCCGTAATGGAAATGAATCTTTTCGATTTAATAGCAATATTATTGAGACTAATATACCAGTTATTAAAACAATGTATGATGTATGATATATGATGTATTAGTTTCAATGATATTGCTATTGAACCAAGAAGATTTGTACTGAAAAATGAATTTGGTTGGATCTACCAGTGAACAATTAAACGCGTTTTGGTTGAAGGAAACAGAATTTCTAATTGCAAGGATCAAACTTAGTTCACGAGAATTAGAAATTAAGTTTTCTTCAATCAAAACGCGTTTGATTCTCCATTCAGGTAGATTCAACCAAACTTATTTTTCAATGTAAGAGGTATAATCAACAGATTGGCGTGTTTAACCGTTTATGCCAGGGGTTTTTCAAAATCCGTGTCGGATTGTGCCATGCAGCGCTTCGTTCATTTATCTGCGAGTAATGCCGATCGACGCGATCGCGCTGCTTGTTTTTCGTCGAAATATGCCGTTCGCGCTTCATTTCATCAGTCATATAAGAAACGTAAATGAAATAAAAATAGCTTATTTATGCAGGTGGTTTACGATTATTACGATTACGAAAAAAAAGAAATAATTACGAGTGGAAACTCTGATGTGACTTATGACCAGCTGTATTCGGAACTGAGCGCGTTGCAAATAGACGATTACGACCGTCGCGGCACATTTCACCACAATACGCAAACAGCGCGATCGTGTTGCGTGGCGCGAAAATAATTAAACGCAAAACAGACTAACAACTATCAGCGAATGCGCAGCTGAAAACACATTGCAGGTATATTTCACCGCCGACTTACGCATGTAGCGGGCGTTTTTTCGTGAATTTCGCGGGACACCTTGCGTATACACCTTGCGTACACCTTAGTATTCAGTAAAATCGCAATAAATCAATAACTGCTTCGTTTTTCTCAACGAAACTTTTTTTATTTTACACTTAAATATGTGCTCTACGATTATTTAAAAAAAAAAACGACATTTTTTAAAAATAAGTAAATATAGAATAGTGAACTAAAAATGAAAGGAAAATTTTTAATTTTACTATTTATTCAAAAATATTTTTTCATAACAACAAGTAAAAATAGGCAATGATAAGACTAATATTTCTCATTATATCAATCATGGCTCATTTTATCAATATTATAATTAATAATAAAAAACAAGCTTCAAATTTATAAAATACGTCGATATACTGGCGAGTTGTGGACAAAGTGAGTCGAGATCGAAATCGAATTTCCAATTCCCACAATCCTCAATTTCCTGCACGCGG